TGACGACGACACATCCTCTTCCCTCGCCGTCGTTCCGTTTGCAGTACTCGTTCCCCGCCGAGCGCGGTCTGGAGCGCAGTGGACTCACCCGCAAAATTTCCTCTCCGTTTCGGCATCGCCGTGCTCATGACTTGCGTTTTTATCATCAGCTTTCTTCCCTCTTCTTTCTTTTCTCTCTCTTTGTTTGTCCGAGATCCCGGACGAGCCCCCAAATGTTACTCTCACGGCGGCGAATCAGCGCTTTTGCCAGACTCCGGAAATCGCGCACGCGCTTGCGGCGAAAGGAGAACACGCGGCTTCTTAACAAAGCACTTTATTCACATAGAAATACAGAAAAAACGCGCAATACAAATCTTGTCGTGGCACGCCGTGACAGCTCTCTGCTCAGAATCTCTCTCAACAAACCCATCGCTCGGCAACGAACAATTGTGCCGAGCGCGCGACGTTCACGCGGTTCCCGCGACACGCACTCGGTGTCCGTTGCGTAACAATATTATCGATCCCTCCCATATTTTTATTATACTCACAGATACAGAGTGGTTTCACGATATCTTTTTTAGTTCGCCAATGTTTTTTACCGGTAAGGCTAAATCTAACTTCATGGACTGTTGTGATTGTGACCGGGGTTAGGTTATATTTGGTCGAGTACTCACGTATTTCTGCCTTCTATCACGGTCGCCAGTCACTTTTACCCCCAAGTGACAAGGATATTAATCTTCTTTTCTTTTGTTTTAGGTGCTGTGTTGCTGCACGTCAGGATTTCACCTTCCTCAGGATCGGGATGTTAACAGGCAAGTAACGTTACACACAACTTGCTCAATATAACAACAAGTATATTTCTCTGTAATCTGACTCACTACACTGAGATATGTTTTTTATTTAACTTTACAGGTACGATCGAGCGTTTTACAACTTTTTCTTGCGGCGTCTTTTACAACGTGCGTATGCGCGTCTGTCTTTAACGGCAGTTGTTATACGACTGACTTCCAACATGACTTTGCCTTCTTCCTTGTCTCGGCGGCGCGACCAGCGGCGCGCATGCGCACTCACCCGTCCTCTTTTCTTAAAGGTCGTGCATAAGGCCTGTGTGATATGTGTTTGTGTTGTACTTGTGTGCGTGATGTGTGTGGTGTACTTTTTATTCGTTATGTAACGTTTTATTTGTATAGGTGTGTTTTTTAAATTGTCCGAATAAGACCTGAAATTTTGTGTGGATGTTGTGTGTGTGTCCTAGATGCGTTTTGTATACTTACTTTTGCTTATTCGGGTATTTTTTTCTATTAGAGGTATGAGCGTGTAACTTACGCTACGGATAACGGCTGTTATTGCGTGTGTGTATTGTCTGTCCGTCCAGGGTGTCGATGGTATAGTTGTATGTCCTTAATCGTGTATTCTATTTTTGTACGTGTACTGACTTTTTGTTTTGGGTTGTGTCTGAAAATGATCCTGTGTGGTGTGTGCGTTATGTGTGTGCATTTGGTGTATGTGCTGTTCCTTATTCGAGTGTATGTATTTATGTTTGATGGGTTTGCAAAATGATAAATAAGGATTAAAAACTGTATGGCTGTGATGTGGGTGGTGTGTAAATGTGTTGTATATGTGTATAAGTCCTTATTCGTCTGTTAAAATTTTACTGTTGTCTTGTGGTCAATGTCTCGTATAGTTGCTGTATTTTGCTGTGTATGTTGTATGACTGTCTGTCTTTCGTATAAGATGTGAATGGCCTGTTATCCTAGTGTTTGGTTTTTCTATTGTTATGACGTGTTTGGGATAAGTGTCGTGAGTGCGTGTGTGTGACGTATGTGTGGTCCCTGTACGACTAGTACGTACACTGGTCCTTAATCTTTACAAAAAGAAACTCAACAAAACAACAACGCTGCTCACATAACAAAAACCAAAATTAAAACTGAAAACAAACAGCGGACATAAAAAAAACAAAACTTTCTTTTGTGATTTTACGCCTAACACTGGTCCACTCGCAGTCCCTGCCGTCCTTACTACTACTTACTACACTTAAACATCTACATGTGGTTATATATATATATATATATACGTATAAAAGTCTTCTATATGATTTACATAAATATCTTAACAACTAAACGACTTTAATTCTAACATTTTTGCGACTCGCACGCTAGTGTTTCCTGATTTTGAATCCTCTTTCAACTTGGATCCTTCTTTTCCTCTTCATCGGTGTTGCTACCCGATGATGGTGACTGAAAATCAGGTGACTCTTGTCCCTGCGTCGCGACTTCGATCTCCTGACTCACTTCCGGAGTCTCGACTGGCGCCTCCCGGGGTTTGGGTGACAGTGATCATGTAAACTTCTCTTTTGTCCATCCATTTCATTACTAACTAGACGTCATTGTGTGCGACCTGAATCTTACCTTTATTTAGTTTATTCTCTAACCTTGGCATGAATTTCCTATTCTTTTTCACAGTTCCACAGATTTCTGTGTCACGGTCATATAGAAATTCGGCCAATTCTGGAGATAAATACAAATTATTCACGTAAATGACGCGACCTTTGTTGAAAAAATTTTTTAGGAAATGAGCTACAATGTCACCAGTAATACCCAACCCAAACTTTTTGTAATCGGTATCTGAACCTGTATATACAATGAAATCTATCAAAAATCCAGTTTTACAATCAACTAGTTCAAACAATTTGATACCAAATACGATGTCATTTCAACGGTAAAAATTGTTTGAAGTACAGCTTCCCTTTCCATAAAACTAAACTTTTGTCAATACAAAGATTCTGTCCTGGTAATATAGAATTTGAAAATTTTTCTCTTAGATCAATTACAGGTTTCAACTTTTTCGAAGGATGATTCACTATTTCTTTGTTGTTTGAAAAATGCAAAAATCGNAAGATTTGGAGATATCTATTTCGACGCATGATCTTTCTAAAAATTGGAGTTTCCAACAGAGGATCTGTGATCCAATAATTTTGAATTGCACCTTTTTGAACGTGTCCTATATTGATTGTTGTTCTAAGAAAAATTCGTAATTCATCAACTGTAAGAGGTTCCCAGGACTTCATATTTTTTTGCGGGCCTTCAGGATCTTGTTCCTGGCATAAATTCGTCTGTGCTGTTATCATTTCTAAAAGATTTAAATTTAAAAAAATTTTGAAGTAGCACAATGGAGTATCATCTGGAACAGTAATAGTACTCTGAATACCAGGTGAACCTTTTATGTGAAATCTTTTATGGAAGGATAAAGTAAAGTATCATAGATAACATCAGGATTATCTTCATCAATATCAATAAGTAAGTCATCATCTACAGCTTCAGATGCACCAGTTATATCATATTCATTATCGGATTTTTTTAGTTCTGATTCGCCACTGCTAAAATCTACAGTTTCAACATCTATTATAATCATCTAGTTGAGAAAATAGGAAAAAACTATATAAAAGAAAAAATATCACGAGAAAATAAAGAGTAATGAGAGCAACACGTATATATCTAATACAGAGTTTTGCGATAAGGTGGTGGCCTCTCTATATATAAGGTCATGGGCACAATCTTATCATAGGTNAAACTTGATGGGTTGCCACCTGGTGAGAGAAATCAAAACTAAGCATAGGTTTATAATGTGTACCGAGTCCTTAGTCAATTGTAAAATACTGAGCATGTAACATTTAGAGGCAAAATATGTATGCGCGCGCGCGCGTATGTATGTGTGTGTAGAGGAGGGAGTGTATGTGTGTACATATACTATATATAAGTACTTATATGTATTTATATATACTTCTTGTGGAAGTTTATGCATGTTTTGATAGGCTGCTTAACAGCGTCTATATATAGATGTTCCGGCAGCGTAAAGATTAACCATATGTGCTGGAGCAGCCATGACGATGTCATCTACGTACCGGTAGTAAAAAGTAATTGAAGTATTAAATTTGTATAATGCTTTGTTTTCAATATCTTGCATAACGATATCTGCTATTAATGGAGACAATGGTGAACCCATAAGGGTACCAAAAGTTTCTAAATAACATTGTCAAATGTTAAATAGGTGGAAGAGAGTACAAGAGCAATGGCATTTAAAAATTCATCACAAGGTATGTTCGTATTTTTGGTGATGTAAGACCATCTATTTTTAATAGTATTAACAACCAAATCTGTAGGAACGTTTGTGAAAAGTGAAACAACATCCAATGACAGTAAAATATCATCATTATTAAGTTTAAAATTAGAAAAACGTTTGTAGAATTTGGAACTATTTATTATGTTGTTTTTAGCTACGGGGAGACTCTTATATAAAATGTTGTGTAGAATATGTAAAAATTATTGAAATCGGAGGAGGCTCCTCTAATCTGCACTATTACCCTATATAACCTTAACTTTTTATGAAGTAAAAAATTAAATCCAAAATATTACTTAAAAGGAAATGGCTGTTTGGAGCCTTTGCAAGGTGTATTGCAGTAAAATTTGTTTGCAACAATCTCTGCCAAAACGTTTCGACTTTATTTGAAGTCCTTATCAATTGATCTGTTGACGATATTTATACAAGTGTTGTTATTATATAAAATATGAGAATTGAAAATAATACAATTACGTACCATTACAATAAGCGTCAAAAACGCATCTTGTTACATTAAGATCAAATCAATCAAACTACACAATGACATTTTAACGGTAATAAATGTATAAAATTACGAGCGTCATATTATTATAACGATGGAAACTGAACTGGATCGCTATAGGTTGGATTGAATTTGATGTAGAAGGTGAGTCCATCTATAAATTAATATTGTACTTTATTCAATAAAGGTAAGTATATGTCATGTAATGCTTCTGTATCTTTCATCAAATTCAAACCGTGTACTTGTTTTTTGATGTGCAACATTTCAGACGTTGCTTGCTTAAAATAATTGCTTTCTGTGTCTAAAATTTTTGTATCATTCCAATTAAAAAAATGTCCAGTTTCAATGCTATGTTTAGCAACTACCGATGGTTCTATGTGTCCCTTTTTGATTTGAATGTTCTTTTATTCTTGTACATAGTTGTAGTTTTGTTTGCCCTACGTAAGTAGAATCGCATTGATGGCATTCAATACGATAAACTACATTTTTTTGTTTATTTGTTGGTACTAGGTCTTTATGTGTTTTTATAAATGTAGATATTTGGTTTAGATTTCTGTAACTCGGGTTGACAATTTTATTGTTGATTTTAACGCTACTCAAAAAATGATTTTTAATGTACGGTGTGACAAAATATGTTTTCTATAGTATTATTTATTTTCTGTGGGATATCTATATGTTTCTTTAATTTTTTCAAAAACAACACTCAATCTATGACTTATTTTTTGAACAATTAGTTCAATTGGATAGTTATTGTTTAATAAAATATTGATTATGAATTTTACGTTTTGTTGATGATATTTTGGATGTGATAATAGCAAAGCTCTGTCTACAAGAAAATAAATGGTGCCTATTTTGTAGCTCAAAGGATTATGTAAAAAGAAGTTGAGATATTGAAATCACAATATTGAGAGTGACCTCCGGTTTCGGATTCAAAAATTAATATAAATAGAAGAAAGCAATGGGAACCAATTTTGTCACTTAGCTCAATAAATCATAAGATAGGCACTGTCTTCACATTAGTTGACAGATCTATTTTACTATCTGACCCCATTTATCATTACAAAAATCTATCTTATGTTATTGATACTCTTTTAACTAATAACTATCCACTTTACTTTATTTTTAAAATGATCAACAGAAGGCTTAAAATGTTGTTTTCCGATAAACTCAACAAACATCTTAAAAATAATTATTTAGACAATTATGACAAACCGCCAACTCATTATTGCGTAGTTCCATTCATACCAAACACTGAACGCATTTTTAATCCTTTTATTAAAGTCGCAATCAGAAATAATAATATAATCAAACCAGCTTATAGAAACTTAAATTTGCTTAACAAATTTATAAAAACACACAAGGATTATGTTCCGATAGACACGTAACAATGTTGTTTATGAAATTTCCTGCGACTCTTGTGAGTTTAGTTACATAGGACAGACGAAAAGACAACTTGCGACAAGAATCAAAGAACATATGAACTATGTCAAAAAAAAACAGCAGTCTTCTGTTATTTCAGAACATTCTTTGAATTATGGTCATTCTTTTCGATGGCACTCAGTGAGAATATTGGATAATTAAAGAAATTACTTTAAACGCTTAACATCAGAAATGTTACACATTAAATTGAACGATCATAGCTTAAACATTAACAAAGACACTGAATTATTGGATGACATATATCTCCCGCTGTTGGACAAAATTAATTCTATCACATACACACAGATGGGGTTGTTTGACAACACAAACACACGAACACAAAGTTCGACTTTCGATCATTAGTATTGACGACAGTTTAACACATTTATGTCGTCATTTTACGGACTGTTTCCTTATTAAGGATTGTGTCTCCAGTTGATCGGTGAATTTGTTCATACATCATTACTGTGCTTTTCACATATGTTGCATCTATATTCATTTTTGTTTTTTATTTAATATTTATTTTGTATACTGCAGTTGCCATATGTATTTTTATTAATATTTGTAGTTCCCACTGAAGATGACTAAAAAATATTGTCGAAACGTTTAGAACATACTTATATACGTTGTCATTAATTACATTCCAACCAGTAATTGGTTCCCATTGCCTTCTTCTATCTACGTTAAGTTAAGATATCTACCGAAATAAGTTGGTTTTTTGGTACCAATCACATATCAACTTATTGTTTTCTGATTTAATGCTAATGTCAAGGTAGTTGAGGGTGTTGTCTTTTTGTAATTCATAAGTGAATTGAAGCCTATCATGGATCGAGTTAAAAACATTGACTACATGGTTAACTTGATTAGAAAGTATAGTTAAAATTGTGTCATCGACATATCTGAAGTAAAAAGATATATTAAATGTTAATTTGTTTAAAGCTTGCAATTCTAGATCTTGTAAGACTATGTCTGATATGATCGGAGACAATGGTGAGCCCATAGGCATTCCATATATCTGTTTATGTTTTATTATTAAAGGTAAAATATGTTAATGACAGAACGAATTGTAATGCTATTATAAACTCTTCTTTATTGATTTTTGTGTGTAATTTGATGTATCTCTATCTTTTTGATATGCTCTCCATGGCTAGGTTCAACGGTACATTGGTAAATAATGATGTTACATCGAGTGATAAAAGAGTGTAATTAGGTGGTAACTCGACACCAGAGACATTATACAAATGAAAACTGTTGTTTATGAAGAAAGAGGAATTGGGAATGCTTTTGTAAATAATTTTATGTAAATATAGTGCCAATTGATGTAAAGAGCTATTGATTGAGGATACGATAATTCTGTATGGACAATTTATTATATGAATCTTAGGGACTCCGTAGGCTCTAGGTAATAGTGAATCAGTGAATCAGTAAAAAATTAAAATTTAATAAATTAAAAAGTTATTTAATACTACAGAAAAGTCTTTCTCTAAACGATTTGTTTTACAAAATTAAAAAATACTACAAAATCAAAATGATAGGAATATCTCAAAAAACTTTTCTTTTCAATAAAAAAGATAAGAACAGGCGCCAGGTACACGCACGTATTGTATTTAAATTAATAAATTAAAAATTAATTTAATACTACAAAATATTAAATAAAAGTGAATAATAATTTAGTCCAATATCGAGCCAAATAGACAGGAAAGTAATGTGTTAATTTCTCATTTTTTGATTGTCGTCCAAACGTTTTGATCCCTCAGGTTCGGGATCTTCTTCAGTGAAAAACTGATTTAAAAAAATTACAAAATTATTGTGATGACAAAAAAGGTTGACAAGTTTGGTCGCTCTGAGAATCTTAAATTGTTGCTAATGTATCATGGTCTTCCAACAGCAAAATTAGTCATTGTCTTACTTCAGAACTTTCACTTAAAACGTTAAAATGAAAATAAAAGTAATAATCAAATAAATTAAAATAAATAATAAGTAAAAATAAAAACAGGAGTAAAAGTCAAATGTAAAATACTTGTACTAATTCACCACCGAGTTCAATATTACGCAATAATGTAAACTGTACTGCTGGCATCCATGATAAG